GTATTTTTTTAAAGCTTGCCATGCCTTTCATTAAATGATAGACACTGCAAAGTCTTCAGTCATATTATGCATGAACAATTTCCATTTCTGTTTCTCAGATGGTATCTTGAAACAAACAAAAATGTCTAACACATTAACACTTAGCATTAATTTAACAATGAGATTACTCAGGTTTATTAAAATTTCCTTCAAATTTATAAGAGTATTTACAGGCACCCCTCCTATACTCTGTGCATCTATACCGGGGTGGGCACTAATTTTTTATGGGAGGGGCACTCCAATATTTTGAAAATGGTTGAGGGCCACACTATTCCATTGTATTAATGGAGGAGATGTGGAGTCTGGGATGGCGATTGGGTGCAGAACGGAGCTTGGGTAAGGGATTGGGGTCTGGGAGGGAATTTGGGTGAAGGAGGCGATTGTGACGTAGGGCAGGGGACTGAAGTTCAGGGGTTTGGGATGTGACCTAGGGTAGGAGGGTATTGTGCTCTGGGGCAGGAGATTGGGGTGCCAGATCTGGGAGGTGGTATGGGGTGACAGAGGGTTTGGATATGTTGGGGGGGAGGAAGTGCAGAGGGTTGGGGCAGAAAAGGGCTGGGGTGTCAGAAGCAGGCTGTGGCCATGACACTTACCTGCCAGCTGCCAAACTAGCTAGCTTGCCTGCCTGCAGAGCTTAAAATGTTTCCCAGCTAGTCAGCCTGCTTGCTTGCCTAGCCATGTGCTTCATTGAATAGCTGAGCCAAGGAGAGGGGGTGTGGTTCTTCTTGGCTGAATGTTATTCCAACCCGCAGCTCCTGAAAATTCCCCCCTCCCCTCCAGTTTTAAAACAGAAACGGAGCTCTGCATTCGTGTTTCTGCATGGTGTGCTGGGCTAGCAGGGGAGCCTGCCTGGGGCTCTTCGCGGGCTGGACCTCGTGGGTTGGCAGCCCAGATCCGGCCCACGGGCCATATTTTGCCCAGGCCTGATCTAACCATTAATTAAAAGCCCACAAAATACAAGAAGACAACCTAAAAATATCTATCTGCCATTAGTGAAAAATTACAATAGGTAAGCATAATGAATGTATGTTTCCTCAGTGTATCAAATGAACACATATGGGATTAAATTCTACCCTAAATTACACTTTGTAACTTCACTGAGTTTGAGGAGTTGCACAAATGTAAACAAGAACTGAATTTTTCCCATTATTTACATGTTTGATTTTCTATATTAATCTTTGAGTTAGCTGGCAGATGTATAAAATCACATGTCCAGTAGGTAGGGAGTTCCCATTTAACTGTATACTCAAGGGCTGTCTACACTGGCCGCTTGAATTTCCACAAGAACACTGACTTTCTACTGTCTGAAATCAGTGCTTCTTGCGGAAATACTATGCTGCTCCCGTTCGGACAAAAGTCCCTTTTGCGCAAAAGGGCCAGTGTAGACAGCTCAGATTTGTTTTGCGCAAAAAAGCCCTGATCGCGAAAATGGCGATCGGGGCTTTTCTGCGGAAAAGCGCGTCTAGATTGGCATGGACGCTTTTCTGCAAAAAGTGCTTTTGCGGAAAAGCGTCCGTGCCAATCTAGACGCTCTTTTCCACAAATGCTTTTAACGGAAAACTTTTCCGTTAAAAGCATTTGCGGAAAATCAAGCCAGTCTAGACGTAGCCAAGAAGTTCATGTACACACATTATTTACTTCTCCTAGCATGAGGACTATATTGTGCTCATAAAGTTTGCCCCATTTCATATACTGTATGGATATAAAAGCAGCTGGTGGGTAATGAAGCTTCAAGTACAGGTCTAATATATCGGGAAAAATTTAATACCTATCTGTCTGAAATCTCTAATACGTATGTAGATAGAAAGCTGGCTAGATTGTCCGGCTCACTGGGCAGCGATCAATGGCTCAGTGACTGATTGGAGGTCAGTGTCAAGCAGAGTGCCCCAAGAGTTGCTTCTAGGGCTGGTTTTGTTCAATATCTTTATTAATGGCTTGGATGAGGAGATGTATTGCACCCTCAGCAAGTTTGCAGATGACAATAAACTAGGGGGAAAGGTAGATATGTTTGAGGGTAGGGATAGTGTCCAGAGTGTCCTAGACAAATTGGGCTAAAAGAAATCCGATGAGGTTCAACAAGGACATGTGCAGAGTCCTGCACTTGGGACAGAAGAATCCCAAGCATTGTTACAGGCTGGGAACCGACTGGGTAGGTAGCAGTTCAGCAGAAAAGGACCTGGGGATTATAGTGAAAGAGAAGCTAGATGTGAGTCAACAGTGTGTCCTTGTAGCCAAGAAGGCTAATGGCATAATAGGGTGCAATAGGAGGAGCAATGACAGCAAATCTAGAGAAGTGATTATTCCTCTTTATTTGGCACTGGTGAGTACTGCATCCAATTCTGGGCCCCCTATTACTGAAAGGATGTGGACACATTGAAGAGAGCCCAGTGGTGGGCAACCAAAAAGATTAGGGAGCTGGAGCTTATGAGGAGAAGTTGAGTGATTTGGGCTTCTTTAGTCTATAGAGTGAGGGGGGATTTGATAGCAGCCTTTAACTAACTGAAGGGAGGTCCTGCTTTGGGCAAGGGATTGGACACGATAATCTCCTGAGGTCTCTTCAACTCTACAATTCTATGAGGTTCCAAAAAGAATGTAGAGAGGCTGTTCTCAGTAGTGACAGATGGCCGAACGAGGAGCAACAGTCTCAAGTTGCAGTGGGGGAGGTCTAGGTTGGATATTAGGAAAATCTATTTTACTAGGAGGGTGGTGAAGCACTGGAATGGGTTACCCTAGGGAGGTGGTGGAATTTCCATCCCTAGAGGAGAATTTTTAAATCCTGGCTTGATAAAGCCATGGCTGGGATGATTTAGTTAGGGTTAGTCCTGCTTTGGGCAGGGGGTAGGACTCAATGACCTCCTGAGGTCTCTTACAACCCTATGATTCTATGATACGCAGCACAACTACACTTGTGAGGTGAGGCTGCTGAAAACTTACCAGAGACTCCACAATTAGATTCGAGTTCTGGATCTATGTAAGGGGAATTATTAATTAGTCATCGTACTGATATAAATACACACTCAAACCCCTACAAGCCAAACTGTGTGCTCATCCATTTAATTTCTTCTCTACAATAATCCCATATCTCACTCTTCTAGAGCCTGGCCTTCAAACACACTCTTATTTAAAAGTGTATTTTTTTAAAAAATTGTAAGTATAATAAAAATTTAAATTCCCAATATGAGATTACTTTTTATATTTATAACTCAGAGCTAGAGATATTCTCTTACCAAAACACCAGTTCTACCTCTCCCTCAAATTATGGTAAAGTTCAGATCTAAACATCATAGTTCAAAACCATTCTTATTAGAAATTGGCATATTAAACTCCAATTTGGCAAGTGTTTCTTTTAATAAAATAAGAGGTCCATATCACTTTTCAGATACTGAAAAATATGTTGTAAAACTTTAATTTTAAAATGTAGTCACTGGTGCTTCAATTAACTAGTTTTTATATACCAAGTACAACCAAAAACAAAATAATGAATTGTCTAAAAACTTCTGTAACAGCTAGTCTCATGGGACGGAAATATTAAAAAATGCCTTTCAGTCTTAAATCCCTGAACTTTGTCAGTTTAAAATAAGCTCTTAACCTTATTTTGATATTTATTTTCTGCATTTAATTTTGTATTAGTTTGTTCTACTTCACTGGCACTTATCCCAGTAAGTGGGTATCTTTACTTATGTAGTCTCTCTCAGATAGGACAATCTGCTGAATCACTGTAATTTCTAGTCTGCCTCAAGTAATCTTGCAGCTGCTTATTCTCGCTATGATTATGTAATTGTCCTGATGTACCAATAAGCGGGCAAAACTTTAGTTAAATTGGGGTGTGAGAAACTTTTCATTGTAAAAGCAAAATTAGTGGAATCTTGGCACCATACTAGCTGGACCCAAACATTGCTGAATTGAGGACAAGATTAGCAACATGCCAGGAGTTCCAGAACTATATTTAATTTGCTCAGAACAGAGTGCATTATTGCAGTCATTATCTTTAGTATGAGAATAGTTACATTACAAGTCCTAACATACATTGACATCCACTTTTAGGCTAGCAATGTAGCCTGTGCAAGTTTCAAACATTCAAACATTTGTTTTGATAATCATCCAACTCAGTCTACAAGCTCTCACAATCCCAAACACCCTACTGACTTGAATTGACATAGCCTGCTGAAAAAATAAATCATAACATGCAGTTCCATCTTGGTCCAAGTACACAGAAAAGATGAGCCCCAGAGTAATCCAAGCATCACACCCCAAGTGGTCTTAGTGCCATCCTGACCATAATGGACTTTCCACTAAGATTAAACTGGAATACAATTAGCTAGGGCCTCTTTATCTCTGACAACTAGGTGCAAGTTTCCCCTAATTCCAGAATTTGACAAATGGTCCTGATTTGTCCATGGCGTGCAAGTTTACATCCCTATTCTTGAACTATGGTACTCAAAAAAGACTATGATGTTGTGAGGAATTTGGTCTATTCCTGTGGCACTGATTGGAGCAAATTCAAGAGAGCGATGCCTTCCATCTTCCCCTGTGGATTAAAGATGTAATAGCAAACAGCACTAGGAAGGCACGGAGATGCCTCTATGCGCATGGAGGGAGCCCCAAATAATGCAGCTTTTCATCTTTATCCTGCACTAAAAGCCACCCTGCTCGGGGCAAGACCTGCCAGGCTCGTCCACACTGGCCCTTCCTGCCTCCATTCCGGAGCAACCCCCCATGCAGGGCCCCGTGCGAAGGGCAGAACATCCCCTGTGAGGGGCTCGCCCCCTCAGGCGGCGGAGGGTCTCTCTTCACTGGCAGAG